TCGGTTGTCCACCGGGGTGAGGAGAACCTGGAGGGAACCAAGCAGCGCAGGGGAAGGCCGAGGTTTCCAGGAGGCCGGACGCCGGCGGGCGGCCGCTGGGCCACTCGAACGTCCCGTCCGCCGCAAGACTGCGGGCTACGAGGTCGTTCCCACGTTCCGGGCGAGCCTCATCCGGACGGCCTGCGAGGTGGTGAGTGTGCAGGGCGGCCGCGGCCCACCTCGACCCTGAACACCGGCCAGTCGCGAGTGCGCGGCCCCGGTGCGCAAAGTGCTTCCAGGCTGCTCGAGGCGCCGCGGCTGGCGGAGCTCGATTCCAGCGCGAAGACGCTCCCGACGCGCACGCGGCCAGGCGCGAGTCTGAAGTGAGAGCAGCCGCCCACCGTCCCCTGCGGTGCGGACTTCGGCCGCTGTGAAGGCCCTCGGCCCGCGGGTCCTGGCTGGGGCGGTGGCCCTTCCGGTGCTGAGTCCTTACCGGGTCAGTGCCGACTGCTTACTTTTAGAGAGCAGTGCGGTGTAGACAGGGGCCAGCTGGGGGCGGGGCTGGACTCTGTGCCTGTACCACCTCCGGGTGGCCCCCGGGCGCCAAGGCGCTAGGGCTGGGCTGCGGCAGGGCCGGCTGGGGAGGCTTTGAGTGACAGGGCCGGAGGGCTGTGGGTGGCCTGGGCAGGGCCCGCGGCCCCAGGAGGTCTGGGAGTGCTCCTCTCCCGAGGTCCTCCCAGAAGCAGCTCCAGCCCAAGTCCCAAGGGCGTCCCAAGGGCGTCCCAAGGGCAAGGGCACAGTGGACACGGAGGCCACCTTCAGGGTGACACTGCACCCCAGAATCCCTGCCTGAAGCCAGGGGCCACCCAGCTTCCTGCCTTGGCCCCTCCCTCTCCCCCACTCCTCCCACCTCTACCTCATCTCCACCTCAGGCGCACCCACCCCTGCCCTGTCCCTGCCCGGGGCCCACCCCTCCGGCCCCTGGACTCTGCCCTGTGCCTGCCCGAGGCCGCCTCCCGCCTCCCAGAGCCTGGCGGGTCACACCCAGCTGCTCCGGGTGTGGATTCTCCCTCGGCTTTAATGGCTTCTAGAACTGGTGGTGACATGCTGGGGAAGTTTCTGGGCCAGAGAAGAAGCATCACAATTAATTTTGTAGCCCTTTCGGCCAAGATAGCAACAGCGTTTCCTTCCCAGCAAAATCCGGTGAGATGCACATTTAGACAAATAAGTGACCTGATAAATCATCTCACAGATGAGGAAGAAACCACGTGTGAGATGAAGGCAAATGATTTCAAGCCGCTTCAGGAGGGACAGGAGGGCGCCGGCGGGCTGGGCTGCTCGGGAGGCCAGGGCCCCGCGGCCGGGCGGGACAGCGAGCCGTCCCCGGACGTGTGGAGGACACTCCCGGCGGATCTGGAATTCCTCCACAAGTACCTGTACCTGACCTGGCGTCTGTCACTGGCTGGACGTTCCAGCCGCCGCTGTGTGCTCCCGCAGGCAGCCACGGCGGCTCTGACTGGGAGGCAGTCTCATCCTTCACAGCACTCACTGAATGTTTCTGAAAGGAACCCTTCGGGAGTTACCCTCCAGCTAGTTTCGAGCAGTGAGAGATGCTCACGCTCACTTCATCACGTCACCGTGACGCCGCCCGCCAATGCCCACTCGTGCCACGGCTGCGCAGGCCACGGGCCACCAAGCCACGGCCGCCTGGGCCACGGCCCCCAGGCCACGTCCGCCCGGGCCACGGCCTGCTCACACTTGCCGGGAGCTGCACCACAGGCCCGCCGCCCCCAGCCAGGCTGCCGGCACCGGCCGGGCCCTGCCCCGACTCTCACTTTCTGGTTTTCCAGACCGGGCTCCTTTTCCACTGTGTTACGGAGCAGACCGTCACCGCGTCCCGACCCTGGCGATGAGGGGCGATGGCCGTGACGCACCCCGGCACAGCGCAGACCGGCGTGAGAGCGCGTCTGGGGGCGCGACACGCAGCCCAGCCTCCCCGGCCCGTGGCCTCCCACACGTGACTCCAGAGCGCGACCAAGATTCAGCGGGGCTCTGAAAAGCTCTCTTCCGGGCGACATATCTGGGGTGTTCGCTCGGGGGCGAAGACGCGCTGGCTAGGAACGACAGGCGCGGGGACGAGAGCCGCAGGTGGCCCCCGCGTCCCCGCCGGTCCCGTCTCCCAGGCTTCTCCCGGTCCCCACGTCCTTGCCATGAAGTCTGCCTGGCCCCGTTCTCCCCGACGGCTCTGAGAACAGTGGTCACTCTCCCCCCCGCCCCCGGCATTGCTGGTCAGGGTCACCGGTCGCCCTGGGGCCATGCGCACTGGCCGCCAGGTGGGTGCGTGCATACGCCGTGGTCCCGAGCTGCGGCTGCCACTGGCCTCGCGTGTCCGGCCCGTAAAGGGCAGCGGAGGATGCGTCCAGCACTCAGGAGCAGGGTCCCGAGAGCCCCACGGCCCCCACCAGCTGCCCGCCCGCCACCACGCCCGGGACCCAGGGCTGGCACCGCCCGCCGGCGGGAGTTGGCGACCCTCAGCTTGGCTGCCGCCCTCGCAGAGTCCGGCCCAGGCCTCTCAGTGGCCAGCAAGGCGCACGCGGAGGCCAGGCGACATATCTGAGCAGGGTGAGCCGCGGCCAAACAGGCCCGCTGCCCGCGTGGGGCAGCGCCGGCCCCTCACAGGGCTGCTGAGGTCGGTCCGCCCCACCCCAGCCCTCTGCCACGGCGCGCACACCAGGGTTCTCGGGCGGACGCTTCTCCCCAGCGCCTCTGGCTGCCCGGGGCCGCCCGGCCC